TGGGTATATTAAGTTTGGCGCAAATCCTACTCATCTGATAACCTCCACTTTGATGGCAGCACCAGCAGCTCTTTGTTACTCTAAATTATTTTATCCAGAAACTGAGAAGACCACCATCACTTCCGACAACGTCAGACTAGAAAAATCGTGAATTTCTTTGTAATACAATATACTACAACGACAGCACTTTGACAAATTTTAATTATCATAGAAAAATTGTTTTAGAAAGGACTCCAGTTTGTTAGACGCTGCAAGTAAGGGGGCTGTGGTTGCGATTCCTCTGGTTCTTGGTATAATCGCTAACATCGTTGCATTCGTGTCATTCATCGCGTTAGTCAATGGTCTTCTCTCTTGGATTGGATCACTAGTTGGTTATAAAGAACTCACCTTCGAAGTGAGGACTTAAATAAATTTTAAGAAATTAAAATACTTAAAATCAAATAAAATATGATACTAAATAGGATTAATACGTTCTGCTGAAACTTGAGATTGTTTTCCTTCTCTTTTTTTTTTTAGTTAATCTTATCAAAGGTATTCATACCACTGAGTTGGATCATGGGAGTGCCCTGGGACAAATGTGAGGACGTGGCTACTTTAATCGGTTTAAAAACTGTGGTCAACGAGTTTGTCGCTTACGAAACTCTGGGAAAATATAAGAAACAAGGGCGAATTTTCGGCAGATCTGAAGCCATAGCTACATTTGCCATCTGTGGGTTTGCGAATCCTGGTTCTGTAGGAATTACTATGAGCATGATGAGTACTCTAGCTCCTGAGAAGAAAGAAGTTGTAGCCAGTATTGTTATGAGAGCCTTTGTGGCTGGTAGCGCAACCACCTTTCTCACTGCCAGCATTGCAGGTAAAAATCGATAATTATTTTAAAGCCTGTATTATTTTTTACTGACAAAATTCCATTTTCAGGAATGTTGATATCCAATGACTATAGTGAACAATTAATGAACGTATTGCCATTAAACACAACTGCCAGTTAACAAACTGTGATTAGTACATCAGTGATTTCCATTAATTCATCGTTCCATAATATAAATAATTTTCTGTAAATAGGTAGGGTAAATAAAGAAGTCTACGTTTTTTTTCGACAGACTTATTTGATATTATTTATATTATAACATATTATATTATAACAAATTATATTATAACAAAAAAATATTAAAGTCGATAAATAACTGTCGGAGGCATTGATCGTTTGTTAATTATTTGCGCATCGATACATGTAGAAAAGATAATTGAAACATAGTATGATGAACTTAGAAACATACATTGGTGCATTTTGTACGTTTTCGGTGATCATAAATA